ATGAAAGTATGAAAAAGTTATAGAAGTTTAGACAGCCGTCCACGGCAGTCCTAAACCTGCCAAAGCCAGCACAACCCGCTCAATATCGTCTAATTATCGTTATCGACCAAATTCCAGAAAATGTCGAGATGTAATTTTTTGTCACATTTTACCAGCGCTATTTGACATAATTTAAATGATAAAACATTTATCCTGTGCCTTATCCTAATACGCTCGGCAAGGAAACTGACGTTTTTTTTAATTTAATGACCTTTTCTCCCCTATTCATGTAAAGCTTTGGCAACGCCTACAAAAGATACGGATATCATGTTGATAAAACGATTTTAATTCTTTTCAAACAAACCGTGTCAATGATAAAGTTCGAGTGAAACATTCTGTAACGTCCAGTGTGGGATCTCACGTAGCCTATGTAGGTTACAGTTCGCGAGCCCACACAAAGTGGTCGAACCGTCAATAACCACCTCCCCACGGGCTCACAACAAGAGTATTGCAGAGATCGGGCCCTCCCTCGCAGTGACGCATGCAGAAACGACCAAGGAAATCCCCAAGTGAGAGTTACGACAGACTCTCGCCACCGTAGATAGTGGGCAACTTCCGACTCGCGCTGAACGTACAAATCGACATAGAAGCCAAATACGTGTAAACCGTGTCCACGCTCCGGACAAATACAAGGTAAGGATAGCCTACGTTTCGTTGTTTTATATTTGTATGTGTGATACATTTCGGCTACAACATAACGTAATGTAAGCGAACGCTTTGTTGTTGACAGGCGTGAACATACTCGAGCTCATCCGGTGCATGAGTTGTGTGTAATACAAGGTGTATATATAATCCGACTGTTTATCGGGCTACTGTGTGATTTATTACGAATATTGGTTACTGGATTTCATTATTTAGAGCAATAGGTTGATGGCTTCATTTTCCCGTGTTTCACCCTCTCCAGGTGTTGTAAACACTGCTTTTGGACCAGTTTAGGTTGATTGAGAAACATTTTGTCGGCGTCGCGGAAGTGCATAGACAACCAACGACTTGCGGCCGCTTTTTATGAATACACCTACCGAAGTACAGCAGCAGGAGGACATGTACGGCATGGCAGAAATGCCCGATCTCATGCCACCGGCAGGTGCATTACAACCCAGTCCAGTAATCCCGTACGACCACGGACAGGCAGGGAGAAACAGACCAGACCTCCTGTACGCCCCACGAAGAATGCAGCGAGCCCCCAAACTCGGACAGATCGGGCGGTCTACGAGAGGTGGGTTTGATATTAGGCTGTGCTATTATGTTACTTTATCATGTAGTCACTTTACATCCTTGACCTAAAACCAAAACTTTTAAATCAAAATATGTATTTAAAATGGTCCCTGGAGCCTCCCCAGAGCTGCACATCTTGGATGTTTACCCTCATTGAATCCAGCTGAATTAGCTAACTCATCAACTGGGTGCATCCAATAAGGGAAACATCCACTATATATGCAGTTCTTGGGAAGCTCCGGAAAAAAAAATCCTGTTCTAATGTAACACATTCTAAAGCTTTCCAGCTACATTCACAAAACTTGGTTCAGCTCTATATTTCTGTCCATACATCCTCTAGTTACTACAATTAAACTGTTTGCAAGTCCCTTTTCTAGTTATCAAAAATAACTTTGAAGTACTAATTGTGACTAATGGTGCATTCAAGTCATGTCGGAAAGATTGTTTACAAGCTGAATGCACATGAACATCACCAGAAAGTCATAATTATGTGTGTAAAACTTTAAAACCAAGTTTGACACAATGTATGCAGCATCTGTAATAATGGTGAATTTGTTAAATGTTGCATGTAAAAATACAGTAGCCTATTGTACAGTTATATAATGAATCAAATGACAGAACCTTCATAAATCTAATGGAAACACTGAGCAAAACACATTTTTTCATGTAGAGTTAAAAAAAAAAGTGACGTGAACGCACCTGATGTCGTAATTATGAGTTACCAACTCATAAATGTGAACTTCCCAGGAGAACCTGAATGCACCATAACTTGTGTTGTTCACTTGTTTCCACTCGTATGATAAATGTCTTTTATTTTTACAGTGGTTATTGATGATGAGGACTTGGATGATATTATAAACAATAACAGAAGCTTCCCGGTTTCTCAGAGAGTATCACCTGTTGCCTGATGCATGGCTGACTGTGCCAAAGCTGTTAAGAGGCCAACACACCAAAGCAGGCCTACAGAATTGAACGAAAATCTCCCTCTCACATGTTCTCACTTGTCGGCACCTTTCACTGTACAGCTTTTAAGGCTTTCACCACTTCAAGGTCAAACAAGAGAACTGTGGACTTTGCTTCCTGTTCACTTTATGCTTGCCCATCACTTAATTGATGTCGTGCTTCTGTAGCACTGAATGATCCTGTCTGGTGTTCTCAGTTTTGGATGTTTCTTTCTTGAGATGAAGATCTTGATGATCGCTAATGCAACAGGGCTATATTTATTAAATTTGCACCTTACTGCAGAATAAGAAAGCTAACCTCAGCAGGTTGGATTACTCATCTCCCAAAGAGGACATTTTCCTGTGAAACACTGTTAACGTGTAACGCGCCATTTGGTAAGACCTGTGGTTACCTTGGTAACCAGGGCCTACCTTGACATTTCTCTGAATGACATTGGCTACTTGTTAACTTTAAGGATCTTTTATTTGGTCACTGTTTTTATGTGCCTGTTGATTTTAGTTTGAATTGAAATAAGTGCAATCTTGAATGCATACTGAGATGAACAATCAAATCTTCTAAACCGATCTCAGATGTTGGTTGAAGTACGTTGCTCTTAAAAATGTTTTTAGCTTCTAAATGTTTGCATGGAAATTCATGGATTTTTGTAAATTGTTTTGGGGGAGTGCAGTGGGGTGGGAGTAATAAAGTATGCATGAGTAACTTTATTGCATTTGTTAATGTTTGAATACAGGCTATTTGTAAAGGTGTTAGTGCTGTCAATAGATTAAAAAAATTAACTGATTAATCACACATTTTTCTTTAAAGGGGTCATATGATGTTGCTAAAAAGAACATTATTTTGTGTATTTGGTGTAATGAAATGTGTTTATGCGGTTTAAGGTTCAAAAAACACATTTTCCACATACTGTACATTATTGTTTCTCCTCTATGACCCGCCTTTCTGAAACGCGTCGATTTTTACAAAGCTCATCGGTCTGAAAAGCGAGGTGTGCTCTGATTGGCCAGCTATCCATTGCGTTGTGATTGGCAGAATCCCTCAAGCGTGTGACAGCAATTTTACTCCCCTTACCATACTGTGATGCCGTCTCCCGGAGCGAGGAGACTAAAACATTAAAACCCATTATAAACGAGGCATTTGTTGCGCCGTGTAAACATAAAACCATGTCTGCATTTGTGATCGGAGAAATGACAAACAACAAGC